GTATTTGCCTGAAAATGAACAAAAGAGCTACAGTCTAAATACATTTTTAGGGGCAGAGTAGAAAAAAGAGATTATCTACAGCCAATCGTTTATGTAACATACCTAGGAAAACATGAAGGCAGGGAAAAAGGATTTGCTGGAGTCCAACTGGATTGCAGTATAGGATGGTTTAGGCAGAGTCTTTGATCAGTTTAATATAATTCAGCACTACTATTCTTCCTTTGTCCCTTAGAATGATACAACTTCTTGCTTAGATCCAATGATACTTGACAAAAGGTATTAATCAGTTTCCTGTACCACTATTAATAAATTATTATGTATTATATATATAATATAATATATATATATTTTTATATATATATGTGTGTGTGTGTGTGTGTTTTGGTATTTTTCTTAAATTATATGTAATATAAGAAAAATACCAACACAGTGGGAGGGTAGAAGACTGCCTAGAGCCACTCAGCTTAGAAAGGACAGCCTGTTGCATTCTTGCTTTTCAGCTCCTGAGAACAGCTTAAAGCCATGGACTTGTTTGACAGTCCTTTCAGTTACGAAGTTGATTTGATGTTCCTTTTTGCCACAAATAACTATTCAGTATTTCTTTTATGGGATTGTAGTTTCAAGTAGCTTTGACAGATTGAAAAGACAGTCCCTCCTTTACTCACTAATTTTTCATGGAAATAACGTTTTAATGACAAGTGTGAGTCAAGCTAGTTCAGTTTCTAAAGTAAGATAAGTGATCCTTCAGCAGAACTTACTTCTAAGATGGAAGTATTTCTTTCTAATATGGAAAGTAAGCTTAAGTTGCTGTAACTATAGCCCAGGGTATACAAAATACTAAATTTGTCTTTTACTTTAGTAAATAATAGCAATCAATGCATCAATTGCTCTTAAGAATATTAGCAATAAAACATTAATAACCAAATACAATAAAAATGAAGTAGATGCTAGCAAAAAGCATCTACAAAATGTTCGAGCTGCTATTTGGCTTAAACAAGATAAACAAGATAACCATATAAAGATAATTCAGGTAAATCAATTGAACTGTTAGCCTCTGAAATTATTTACTGACTGAAAAATATGATGGCTGCTGGTCTAATGTTCATCAGATAGTCCTGAAGCACAGCTCATAAGCGGTACTAATTTGCATAAGGATGACTGCTTCTGTATGATTGTAATGATTGCTTCTTGTATAAGCTTTTATTTTTAGTAACTATATGTACTTCAAAGAGCTGTTTATATATTAATGAAGATTTTAAAAATAAGATCAAGTCTGAGAAGGGAAAGATGTCTTGCTGTTTTTCTGGCTGTTTTGAGGTGACTAATTTTTTACTCTCTACTGTCCTTTCAGATGAAATTATTGAAGCGAAGTCTGGGACTGCAACTCCACAGAGATCTGGTTCTGTGAGCAACTACAGATCTTGTCAGAAAGATTCAGATGGTGATGCACAAGGAAAATCTGCAGATACATCCCTTACCTCATCAGTGACCTCTTCACTTGATTCTTCAACAGCTGACTTAACTCCAAGACCAGGCAGTCATACAATAGAATTTTTTGAGATGTGTGCAAATCTTATTAAAATACTTGCACAATAACTTTGAAGGAGGGCTTATTTCTTTTACAGCAATAAGCATGCATAAATCTTAGTCAGATGCTTCCAGTTGTAATCAATTTAAATTAACAAAGGCGCTGAAAAAAATACCTGCAAAATGCAATTTACCTAGGGACTGAAGTGATTATGAGCAGTTAGGTATATTGCTTTGAAGCTGGAGTGAATTCTGATTTTCTGCTATTCAGTAACTTAATACAGGTACAGGAAATCACACGCCCCTTGGGCAGTGCTTGTAACATTTTCAGTGAGTGCACATTAGTATTTATATAACATTTACACAGTCATTTTTATCCTTCTTGTTGGTGATGCATACATCTGGAGCACTGTAAGAAAATGTACACTTACAAGTTCAATGACCTAAGGATGACTTGTTGGTCACTGTCTACATTTGTGCCTCAGTTGATCGGAACAGTTAATGTCTCCTAACAACAAAGCATTAAAACTGCTGTTTCTTCCCCCTTTATTCAGCAGTAAATGAGATTTTAAACAAAGTTTGATGTGCTATAATATGAAATTCAGTAATTGATAAATTTGATTAGATGTTGGCAAATCCAACCAGTTGAAATTTTCAGTACATGTAAGTGCTCCGCAGCACAGTTATGAATAAAACTCTCTGGGGTGGAAGTAAAGCAGTTGAAACCACAGCAGTGCCAAGAGAGACGATGCTGAGAAGATATGCCACGCAGTGGCCTGAAACAAATCACTGCTCTGAAGCACTGTGAGCAAGCTGCTGCTCTGTGCAGGTTTGCTAGCTCATACCATGGTGTAGTAGCAGCACGGCTACTGCAGGCTGAGAATTCTTTGAAGTATGTGCATGTAGTGAAGAGCTGGGTTGTTGCATGTTATTCTGCAATCTGAAATTGGCACACCTTTAAAAAAAAAAGTTAATACTTAGATATGTCTGCTTACATCCCATGTTAACTTACTATATGCTCTATAGAATTCACATTGCAGTTTAAATACATCTATAAGCTAAGTTTTTCCAGGCTACCCTCGTACGAATTTTATCATTTAAATTGTGGAAATTAATAGTGCAGTTTTTCAGTTGAATGTTAAAACCTGAAAATGATGACTAAAGTGTTAATAGTTAGGAAGTTTTGAAATGCAGATTGCAGTCATGGATAACATGCATGTAACACAAAAACCATAACTGCAAAAGAAATGTTTAAGAAAATGACCTTAAATGCTGAATCAGATATATTTGCTCAAAAATGTTAAATATCTTGTAAACTGGATGTACGTACCTGCAGTTCCATTTTCATTTAGCACTTAATTTTAGCATTTAAAGATGCGTTAATCAATAAATTGCCATAAAACATTTTAATTTCTTATTTGGGGATTTTTCTTTTCAAAATAGACTTCATGGCTTAGTTTGAAAGATTACTCTCTAATTTAGAAATCAAGGCATTAATATAAACAGTGAAACCTGGTCTTTGTTTGAAATGGATGGGAATTCTTGCCAACGATGAGTCTATGATTCCATCCTGGACACACTGCTAACTGCAGATGACAAGAACAGTCTAATGCAGCTCAATTGGCTTCAGTCCAGAAATTCCTGTTAGAAATTTGAAGAAATTTGTATCTGCTTAATTCTCAGAACTACTGTAGCTCTTCTCAACTGGGCAATTGTGTGGCCTGTCTTGTATGTAGGCACAACTTCAGTTTCTTGTCTTCAAGTGGCGTCTCACACGATCCCTGTAATGCGGGGTTATATTACTGTAGCTCACAGTGGAAGGGTTCTCTTCGATAAAACTTTGCATTTAAACTATTCAGATGGAGATGACAGGATGTGGGACCAGCTATCAATCATACTTTTAAGTTCTTTCTTCAGTTGTGTAAGGAAAGGTTCCGATGTTCTGAATAAATAGGTGTGCTCAGTTTGTTATCCTTTTATTTTGAAACTTAAATATTGCACTTGTACAAGTATAACAAACGCACAGATTTTTTTTATTGCAGTAATTCCTCATCTGGAATTGGTTTGGGATCACCGAAACTGTTTCCTGCATATGTTTAACTATTTACAAATGGTATCTGCTCCTGGTTTGTAGATTTGTAATGCTGATCACCATTGCAAGATGTAAAGGTGCAAACAGCTTTTAATTTTTATACACTTTTTTTGGCTCTCCTGTGCTTTAAGGCAGCCGTGGTTTTCACTTTGTCTTGTCTGAATGAGGTGAATTTTGTTGGTATAACGCAACAGTTTTGATGGCCAAAGGTTTTGTGATAGAACAGAGGGGTTTTTTTTAATACAGGTTCGGGGAGGGAGGATGGGACTGACAACCTATTTGAATTCAGTGCAGTTGTTTGTCATATCACTTTCTTAGGCTTTGTAGATCTTTACTTTGAAACTGCTTTCTTCAGATGTTCCTACTGAGCTTGAAGACCTTTTTTAGCATCCCATCAGGCTGAGAGTGAACGTCACTGAGAAAAATGCCAGGAGTGTAAGGATGTAATTGATGCAAATAAACAGATTGGTTGAGTATGTCACTCTGTAATCCAAAGCATATTTAGTTGGAGTGTGCTGAATTATTTTTCCTGTGTGTTCTAACTTTATGGAAGCATGGATAAACCTGGTCATCTCTGAGCTCAGTAGGTAATGAACTGAAAAAAAAAAAGTATAAGTTGATGCATAATGCTAAAAGCAACAAAGAAAATTTCGTATGTCTTGTTATGAGTGTTAACTACAAAATTGGAAGTGTTATTTTACCAGTTGATTACCAGTGTAAGATATGAAGTCCTATTCTTTAATAAAGATGTGCCTACTTCCTATGTTGATTTTTTTTTTTTTTCTGATAAAGTAATAAATGCAAAAATGCTTGTTTACAACTGTGTTGACTTTTTATACTTTCAGAAGCTTCAAGTAAAAACAAAGCACTTAACCATCGCGTTTGGAGGCGTGTGCTGTTTTGTGCTGCTCTGTACTGTCACGGTAAAGAGGCTGCCGCCTCGACAGCTGGGAGGGGACGGGACGGTAACCGAGCGTTGCCGGAAGAGGCAGCGCCATAGCAGCTGCGACACACCGCCCGCGTTCGGCCCGGCGCCGGCTGCGGCGTTGCGGGCTGCCGTGGGCCCACGAGCGCTACTCCGAGCGCTCCGTACCGCCCCGCAGCTGAACGAACGGACGGCGGCGGTGCCGTCACTCGGGCCGCTCGGCGCCTGGGCGCACGGAACCCTCCGCCACGGCTCCGCCCCTCCCCGCGCTCGGGCGCGCTCTCGTCGTTCCCCTCCGCCCGCGGCCGAGCCGCTGCCGCTCCGCCCTTCCGCTTCCCGGCGGGTCAGAGGTGCATCGGGCTGGGAGGCGGCGCGGGCCGCAGGTAGCGGGCTGTGGCTGCGGGGCGGGCCCGGCGGGCAGCGCTCTTGGCGGTCCGGGCTGTGCGGCTTCTCGGGGAGCTCGGCGTAGCTGCTGGGCCGGGGGCGTGCCTCGCTTGGTGCGGTTGCCTGGCGTTGGTGCGGAGCGCCTCGCTGGCGACCGACGTGAAGCTGCTGGGCAGGATCTGTATGGATGAAGGGTGCTCTGCTTCGTGTTATTGCTTTCAGGGTCGAGATGAGCGAGCTGCGTTTGTTTCTCTGCAAGCCTTAAACCTAGCGCACCTAATCGCTGAAATCTGTTTTTCTCTAGTTCTCCCGATGGCATCTTTTGGCTGGAAGAGAAAGATCGGCGAGAAGGTCTCCAGAGCCACTTCCCAGCAGTTTGAAGCAGAGGCTGCGGATGAGAAGAGTCCGGGTAGTGATGAAGATGAGGACTGGGTGCACGCCACGAAGAGAAGGAAGGAAGTTCTCCTCGAAGACTGCATAAAGAAGAGCAAACAGCTGAAAGACGAGGGGGCAAGTTTGGCTGAAAATAGGAGGTACTGATGTTATCCTAGTCTTTCTTTGACTCAGTAAGTGCTGGGTCTTATTTTATTCCTTTTTCTAAACACTGAGTATTAGTTGCTGCATTCATGCTTCTCATGTTTGAAAAACAGATCTATTGCTTGTTTTTAAATTTTGCGTCTATGGTGTGATGTTGAGTAGGTTTATTTCTGTTTGTTGGTGTTGATGTTGGCAGCTGCAAAGTCTGCATTCAAGTCTCATATCAGTGTGTTTGCTTAACATGAAATGATGGGGAGAGATGACTGATTGCATCTGAAATTTCAGAGGGCAAATGGAATATTGTGAGGTAAGTCGTACTGTAGATGCTCGTACTTCAGCTGCTCAGGGAGCTCTCCTGTCTTGTAAATGTGTTGTAATCTCACTTTAATGTTACAAAGAGTAAGCGCATTTATACGTACACAGTGACTAAGGAAATAGGGAAATAGTGCACAGCAATAAATGTGCTGTTATTTATCTAATTCTTGTGGCAGATCATGTTCAAGTAGACACTGTGTGTCTTTCCTGATAGTAGTACTCAATAAGGATTCAAGCAGGATGTTTTTGAAAAAAAAAATCCTCCCCTATGAAGACAGGCAGAGGGAGCTGGGCTTGTTCAGCCTGGAGAAAAGAAGGCTGCGGGGTGACCTCATTGCAGCCTTTCAGTACCTAAAGGGAGCCTGCAGAGGGAAGGGGAATCAACTCTTTGAAAGGGTTGATAACTGCAGGACAAGAGGAAATGGTTTTAATTTGAGGAGATTTAGGTTGGAGATTTACAGAGAGAGTGGTGAGGTGCTGGCACAGGCTGCCCAGAGAAGTTGTGGATGCTCCGTCCCTGGAGGTGTTCAAGGCCAGGTTGGATGGGGGCTGGGACAACCTCGTCTAGCATTAAATGTGGAGGTTGGTGGCCCTGCGTGTGGCAGGGGTGTTGGAGCTTCATGATCCTTGAAGTCCCTTCCAACCTGACCATTCTGTGATTCTGTGTGAAAGAGCATTTCATAAATTGTTCCTGATACACTTCAAGCAGGAAGTAACTTTGGAGTGGAGGATGAACAGAAGCAGAATGAGACACTATAAATTGTGTTTCAAAACTCCATAGTTTGGTTAGACCTTCTCTAGAGGAGAGAAAAACACAGTATAATAATAGTTCCCTTAAAAACATTAGAATACTTGATACCTGAGTTCTGGCTGTAGTTGCATGGACATCTGTGTTTATTCATTGCTGCAGATCAACAATGATCTGAAATTACTTCCTAACAGAAGTAATTTCACAAGAAGTCAGTATATACTTGTCTTCTGTTAAGCTATACCTGTCAGTCTGAAAAAGGATGGCTGAGGCATTCAGAGAGAACAGCTTAGGAACAGGTAATTCTTGGTGCTGCTAATTATTCTGAGGGGTTGAGTTTTGTCCTGAAACTTTCATTTTAACATTTGTTAGAGAACAGTACTTGAACTCAGTCCATTCATGACTAGCAGTGTGGTTTAACTTGTGAATTTAGTGAGACCTGTATCTTGACAGAGAGTTTACAGCAACCACCAATACAAGCTGAGTGGTCTATAAGAAGCATGGAAAACAAGTAATAAGAAATTAAAATGTTGTTTTCAGAAGATTTTTCACTATCTTTTGTGCTAATGCTTGTATCTGAGGCTCAGCAGAAGTTCTGTACTTAACACTGTAATCTTTATACTTGAAGGAGCATTACTATCATCAGCAACTTTCTCATGTTCTGTAGAGTTTAGGCAATTTCAGCAGTATGGTATTGTTGGTGTACGTAACTTTCAAGCAGACCTCTTTTTAAAAAAAGGTTCACACAGGTTTAAAGCTGAGCTCTCAGTGGGAAGCTTTTACTGCTTAAAAAAGTGGAATAGTTGACATACCATTACAAGGAAGCAGTTTGTGAAGTTATATTTTTTCTGTGTGGTGGAAAGTGACTCTGTTAGACTCACATGGTATATTTTTTTCTTACTAAACATTTTGTACAACATAAAGAGACTTGTGTAAAAATAAAAAACTAAAAGCAAATGGTTTTCTGAAATAGTGTAGTAGCAGTTAAACATTTGAGTTGCGTGGTGCAGCATTCAGGTAAAGGAGTGGTATTGATTCAGTTGTAGATAATCAAAAGACTGAAAGCTAATGGGAAACCAAGATGGTATCTTAGCTGATGTTGCTTGTGAGATGAAGAGACGGAGGGGATCCTGAGAGGAAACATATTTGATAAAGAAGCAGAGACTAAATTTTAAAAAGAGTGGAAAGTAATATGTTCATTTCTTACTGAAAAGAAACTACAGTGCACAGTAAAATTAGTATATTAACAGTATGAAGCTGCAACAGGGCAGGTTCTGGTTGGATATGAGGAGAAGGTTCTTCACCACTAACATGGTCAGACACTGTAACAGCCTCCACAGGGAGGTGGTTATGTCACCAAGCTTGCCAGAGTTTAAAAGTGCCTGGACAGAGCTCTCAGATTTGATCTGATTTTTGGGTGGTCCTTTGTGGAGCCAGAAGTTGAACTCACTGATCCTTACGGGTTCCCTCCTACTCAAGTTACTCTGTTATTCTAATGTGATAGAGTTTTACAAGTAGATCCGCTATTGCTTGTATGGAATAGTGCTCACTGCTTTTAAGCCTGGGTTGGCCAGGTAGCTTCTGGTAAAGGATAATCACAGTAGTGATGGTATTACTTCCCCAGCGTATTTCAGTCTGAGATCATACTGACTTGTGCTTGCAAAGTGAGTCTTCTCTGGGGGCATGGAGTAACATACAGCTAGAAAAAACTTGTACAGCCTGCTCTTTGCCTTTAGAAAACTCAGGAGTGGCACAGGTGAACGGTAGAAGGAAGCTGTCACCAGCTAAACATTTGAGCTTTTATGACAACTGCCTGGAAAGCACTTGTCTACTATACCCACGTGTGGATTAGACTTGTTAAAAGCCTGGAAAAGATACAGAAGATATGTTGTTGAGGAGAATGTATTTTTCTCCTGATCCATGTATTTTTGAGCCTTCTCAAAAATGTGTCTGTTCAGGAGCATGGCTGCAGGGGCTACCTGATCCTGTTGCTACCAGTAAAGTATGGCAGGGATACCACTTGCATGAGGTGTGAACAGATGGATGATCTGCTCGGTATGTGTCAGAGCTCATGGAGAAATTGAGATTAAGAAGCATCAGGGAGTGCAAGCTGGAGTAACTTCCAGTCATACCTGGGACAAAGCCACTGGAGTAATAACCCCCAAACAATGGTGAACCTTGTCACCATTTGGCAGTGGAATGGGACCTAAAAAATCAGGAGGAATGGAAACAGGTGGCAATCGCAGGCAAGCTGTTGCTGCCTACTTTGATTCTCTGGGTGCCACTATGTAATATGTTTGAGGCTCTGGAACTTGAGGGAGAGATAAGGAGAATGCTGTGGGAGGTCTACCCAAAAGGTTGGCTAGGGTGAGGTGGTTGTCTGCATGGCTTTCCTTCTGCAAAGAAGGAAAGAAGGGTAATTATCCTAGGCAACACCCTTTATAGAGGAACAGAGAGCCCCCCTGTGTCAGCCAGAAGACATACTGAATTGTGCTGCCTCCCTGGGGCAGGGACATTCCTAGGAGGCTCCCTGTTGTGGTTCACCCCTCTGATTGATGTCCCTTACTCATATTTCAGGCTGGCAATGATGAAGTTGCTGAGAGAATCCTGACAGCTACCAAGAGACTGAAGGGCATTGGAGATGTTATATGGTGGAGCAGGAGCAGAGATGGTATTTTCCTCTATGCCTTCATTGGCAGCAAGGGATACTGAGAGGACCAGGAAAACCCATCTCATTAATATGTGGCTGAAAGACTAGCGTGGTTGCAGGAATTTTGCTCTTTCTTTCACCATGGGGCAGTTTACTCTGCACCTGGCCTGATCACTGTGGATGGTTCTCCCCTGTCTCAAAGGAAGAAAGGGATCCTAGCCCAGGAGCTGACAGAGCTCGCTGCTGGGGCTTTTTAAACTAGATACGAAGGGGGGAGAGGGAAGGGGGTTAAAACCAGGCTCATTAGAGATGACCCCGGGTTAACTATGAGGGCACTGGGAGTGAGGCAGGGGCTCGGCTGACGTGCATCTACACCAGTGCATTCAGCATGGGCAACAAACAGGAGGAGCTTGAAGCCATTGTTCAGTAGGCAAATCTGAAACATGGTGAGATTGCTCCCATGACTGGAGTGATACAATGGATGGCTATGAGCTCTTCAGAAGGAATAGGCAAGGAAGGAGGGGAGGTGGTGTGACTGTGATTAGAAGTTGGGGCTGGATATGATAGAGTTGAGTCTTTATGGATAAGGATCAGGGGGAGGGTCAACAAGGCAGACTTTCTGGTGGGGAGTCTGTTACAGACTGCCTAACAAGGATGAGGAGACAGATGAGCCTTTCTACAAACAGCTGGCAGAAGTTGTGCAATTTCCAGCCCTTGTTTTCAAGGGGAAATTCAACTTCCCTGATACATATTGGAAGTACAATACAGCACAGAATAAGCAGTGTGGGAGGTTTTTTTTAGAATGTGGAATATGTGGAAGATAATTTCTTGTCACAGCTGTGAGAGTCTACCAGGGGAGGTGCCCTGCTAAACCTGCTGCTCAGAAATGGAAGGAGTGGAGGGAGATGTGAAGGCTGGGAGCTGTGTTGGGCGGTGTGACCACAAAATGGTAGAGTTCTTGATTTTTGGTGAAGGTTGGTGGGGGGCAGCAAAGCTGCTGCCTTGGACTTCGGGGGGAGAACATGGAACTGTTCTTTCAGGGTGCTGGTAGGGGGGGTCCCGTGGGAGTCAGTCCTGAAGGGGCCCGGGAAGGCTAGATGCTCCTCAAGAAGGAGCTCTTAGTGGGGCAGGAGCAGGCTTTACCTTGTGCCACAGGATGAGCGAGAGGGGAAGAAGACTGATGTAGATTAACAGGGAACTTTTCCTGAGGGCCCAGGAGAAGCAGAGAGTTATCTCCTGTAGAAGCAGGGACAAGCAGCTCAGAGAGACTACAAAGAAATGGCAAGGAGAAGTAGGGAGAAAAGTAAGTAGGCAAAAGCTCCGCTTGGATTCAACCTGACAATTCAACCTGACAATAAAGGGGAACAATTTGATTATTATTATTTATTAACAAATATATTAACAGTAAGAGGAGGGCAAAGAAGAATCTCCATCCTTTACTGGATGTGGCAGGGATGTGACCACTGAGGATAAGAAAGTGTGGATGAAGCAAAGGTGAAAATTTGCTCAATCAAACTGTGTTATTGTGCTCTTTGTATCTGTTGTAGTTTCCATGGAAATATAGAGCAGGCATTACTTTCCAAGCAACTTACTTGAGGCCAAGACAATTCCTCTTCACTCAGTGCAGCCCAGACAAGCCAAAAGGTTGGACACCCACAGTCTAATGCATCATAGAGGACGATTCTAGAAGATTGGTAGATAGGCAGTTATGATCAGTAGACAGTGGTCTGTCAGAACAGAAAGAAAATAAATAAGTGGAAGAAGTCCACAGTTGTCTGCTCCGTGCATTTTTGGGAAGAAGAGATTCAGAAGAAAACAGGCATATGTGCACAGACTTTTGAGGAACAGAATACTCTGTGGTTGAGAAATGTGGAGACTATTTTTAAGAGATTATTCTTTTTTACATAAAACTTAAAATGCCTGCATATCGTCCGAACAGAGATGCTACCATGGATGTGTCCCCGTGCACTGGAATATCTTTTTTTTTCTTAAAAAAAAAAGCTTTTGTTGGTTGTTGTATAGGTATGTGTATTTTTGAATACTTCTCTACATGAAAGTATAAAAAATTGTGCTCTGCCTCAATATATTTAAAAAAAAACAACGACAACAACAGTTTGCAAGTGCAATTTATGTTAACCACAAATCTCTGCATGTGGACCCAAGTTTGAGATTTGGATGACATTAAATAATGGAAGATTCAAAGTTAAGAGCTCAGGTGAGACTAAATAATGGAATGAAAAATCCTGTAAAGTAGGCTGCTTTGAAGCTGACAGTAAGGAGAGGAGTACTAATGTCATGCTAGTATCTTTCATATAGTTAAACTGCATATCCGTTTAGGTAACTTTGCAATCTTTCTCCTTTTTTAAAAAAATAAACATGTTTTTAGTGGTCCAGTAGGTGGAGATAGAGTTCTTCTCATTAAACCCGAAGGACTGCAGAAAATACTTACCTGAATTATTTTTTATTTTTTACAAATAGACACGACTGGGTTTATGTTCTTGTTGATTTGCATTTAATGTTTCAATAATTTCTGAAAACTAAAGGTTAATTCTAGTTTCTTGTTTCTACTGCTATTGGTTCCCTATTAAATTAGAAGTCTCCGCTTCTAAAGCTGGAAGATCATGCTTTCAGCTGGAAAACAGTATTCTGGCTGAGCTTATGGAGAATTTCCAATATTAAAATAAATAATTGATGTTTCTTTGTCAGTTGCTAATGTAAATGAGACCAACCAATACTATCTTTGGTTTAGCTTTTGCAATACCAGATTAAACAAGGCCTTTCCAAAGTGCCACTAACAGACGAGTTAATAAGTTACTTCCCATGACATGCTTTACTCTTCTAGGAGAATTACTCCATAAGAATTTCTCAGTGAAATTTTCTAACCCATTGCTTTATTTTAAAGAATATTTCAAGATGTGCTAATTAATCCATATTCTAGCATACTTTTTTTTCCTTCCTCCTCTCCCCCTGCCCCGACATTAATTTATTATTAACTTCTTGCATGTAGTCTGTAGTCCCTTAGAGATATATATATATTCTGTGAGTTTTTTTCTCACTAGATAGCCGTAATGAGTCAGCATAAGATGACAGTCCTTTTAAAATCATGTTTAGTGTCATTGTCAGTTGTGTTATAAAAAGCTCAATTTATCAAAAGTTGCATCAATTTAAAGAATCAAAACCACCTCCCCAAAAATAAAACGCCAGCATTTTAAAAACAAAAAAAACCCGCCTTTCTGTTGCAATGTTATAATGCTTACATTTGTTCAAATTAACCATTGTATTTCAGGTTTAGTTTATAGAGCCACAGAGGGGCAGAGTTGTCATCCTCTAGATCAGGTTGTATAGGGCCCTATCAAGCCTGGCCTTGAACACCTCCTGGGATGGGGCACCCACAGCTTCTCTGAGCAGCCTGTACCAGTGCCTTACTGCCCTCCAAGTGAAGAATTTGTTCTGAATGTTTAATCTACAGCTGCACTCTTCTAATTTAAAGCCTGTACTCCCTTGTGGAATCACTACACTGCCTGATAAAAAGCCCCTCCCTGTCTTTTCTGTAGGTACCCTTTAGGTACTGCTTAACGGCTGTAGTGAAGCCTCCCTGGTGCCTTCTCCAGGCTGAACAAACCTAGGTGCCTCAACCTGTCTTCACAGGAAAAGTGGTCCACCTGCCTGTCCAGGACGTGCCCCAACAGGATCATGGTGCTCCTTGTGCTCAGGCCCCCAGAGGGAGCATTACTGCAAGTGGAATCTCATGGGAGCGAAGTTGAGGAGAAGAATCTCTTCCCTCGCCCTTCTGATCACCTTTTTTTTTATTACAGCCCAAGATATAATTCACTGTCTGGGCTGCAAGTGTATGTTGTTGGCTCTTGTTGAATTTTTCATTCACCACAACTGCCCAGAACTTCTTTATCCACTCATTGCCCATCCTACGTGCATGTTTGGGAGTGCCAGGTGGATCCAGTTGCACAGCTTTGCATGCGGCCTTGTTGAACTTCATGAAGTCTGCAGAGGTCTACCTCTCATGTCTTTCAAGATACCCTGGCTGGCATCCCCTCCAAATGTGTCAGCTGTATCCCTTAGCTTAGTGTCATCCACGAGCTTGCTGAAGGTGCATGATCAGCGCATCTGTTTCAGTCACAAACGAAGACTCACACATATAATATTCTGCTCATTTTTTTTCTGTCAGCCACTAGTTGGTGCCCTGTAACAATCCTAGAAATCTTTCCATGAGAGACTGAAGCTTGCTCTTTTGAATCCATTTCAAACTGATGATTTTTTTGAATCCTCCCATTCTTAGTGTGCACTGGATATATTTTCATGTTGATCTCTGGAACTTTAATGACTTCTGCAGCTAAATGGCAGGTCTTAGAAAACATTATCTTTGACCTGCCAGCTGGTAATAAATAGCTAATGTTTTATACCATGGCTCAGTCTTTTTGTCTCTTTTGCAAAAAAAGAGCCGTTTAAGACATAGTAGGGTTCATGGATTTAGACTTTTTTTAAACAACGTCTTCGGGGAATTTTGGGGGGATGTTGGCAATGAATAATGGTTTGTAGTCAACTAGTTTTGCCATCCTATTTTACTGTTAAAAATAAAAGACACCTATTAAGTATGTTAAATAACGTGAACTTACTGGAGGGTGTTCTGCTACCTAGGTTTCTTTGTTGGAATTTGTATTTGTATGCAGGCTTTAATACAACCATTCATTTTTCTGGCAATTAGCTTCTGTGATGACGATGATAAACTTACCTCAATGAATCTGGATGTTGACATAGGTGTTTTTAATTGACTGAAGTTGTTTGACGATTGAACTGTTCTGATTGTTAAAATATCAGCTTTCCCTGGTATTACTGATGCAACTGGTTTTCCTGGGTGTTTCATTTGAAATGTTGCAAGTTTTCTGCGCCTAGAGCACCTCCTGCACTGACTTTGATGCCTGCAGAGCTGCTTCTCTCCCTCGTTTTCTCACTCCTCTCTCCCAACTGCTGTTGCACAGCAGTTTTTCCCTTCCTTCAATCTGCTCTCCAAGAGCACATCCAGTGTGGCTTATGGCTCAGCTCTGGCAGCAGTGGGTTCCCTTTGAAACAATGAAGCTAGCTCTGCTCTGACAAAGGACAAGGGCTCTGCTCACAGAGACCACCCTTGCGGTCTCCCACCAACAAAAAGTGCCTAAGTTTTATGGTTGTTTATTGAAACTGGAAGGTTGGAATTCTGAATACTGAGCAAAACTTGAAAGAGAAAACACTGAAACAGGGTGAATATATTTATAATTCTGAAGTGAATTCATTCGTGTTTTGAGTTTGTAGATGGTACCTTTCATTAAGTAAATGAAAAAGATCTGTAGAGAAGGTAAAGCATTTGCCACTCTGACTTAATTATGTTCATCTAATCATTGAAATCAATCTAATATTTAAAACTATTGAGCTATAAGGACTATAAAGGTATAGGAATAGGTGGGAATAGGTGAACGGTTGGACTGGATGATCTTTTAGGTCTTTTCCAACCTTGGTGATTCTATGATTCTATGATAAAAGTGTAATTAGGATGAACTATAAGGAAGATAAAAGTGTAATTAGGATGTCCTTTCTCCAGATAAGGGTTGAAGTTATCAAGCTTTTCTTGCTTCACTTCTTCACAAGAAAAGAGATGTTTTAGTTAGTTAATGGTCTAAGCAAATTGATGTCTGCTGTCATGTCCCTGTCTGAAGTTACGCTGTAAATCTGTGGGTATTTTAATTGTTGGGGCTCAAGATATTCCTTTTGTATGTGTTCACCTCTAGGTGTGGGGCATGGAATTTCAGTCATAAAATGAAGACAGAGATTATTTCAGAAGTTAGGCTTCAGAAGCATAAGTTACTGTGGTCTAAATGACTTAATTATTTCTTCCAGTAACCAGTGTAGATAAAAATACATGCAATATTAATCTTTTATTGAATCTTCAGTAATTTATTTTTCTGGGATAAAAATGGAAGGAGATAGTTCAGACGTTTCTTGTTGCTGTTCTCTCAACAGGCAGTATTATGTGTGCAAAATTACACTGCCAAAAAAGTCATGAATCTGAATCTGTAGCTTTTTGTGAAGTTGCTCATCCTTAGAAATATACTGCATTTTAAGTTACTTCAATTCTCTTGTGGGAATGGGAGCACAATTTAAGCTTGCTTCTTCTCCCTTCTTTACAAAACATTTTGGCCTCATGAGTTTTAGGCTCACCACTTCTGGTAACTGAGGTTTTGGTAGCGAGAGTCCCCATTCTGCTTGACACTTTCATTTTAAATTCATATCTTTGTGTAAATTTGCAGGCCGTCGTGAGATTTTAAAGTTCTGATGCATTCCTTTGGTATTGATTGGCAATAGCCCCAGCTCACATACAATTATGTTTGTGCATGTTATGTCCTTCGACGTGTACTGTTGCAAAATAATATTTCACTTATTTCAGGTAATTGGCATTTTTTACTTGCTGTTATCTGTAGAGATGTTATAGTCATTTTATATCAGTACTGTATATCTTTTCATTTATACTGGGAGAGTTAAAGGGTACCTGCCTACTTAATTTACAGATACTTTCATGAATCACACATTATAATTGTCCTCTATAAATCTCAAAATGCTGTGGAGAATTACACATTTCACCTACCTTAATCCATTTGTGTCTGCTTTTTTACGTAGCTTCAGTAGTTGTTACTCTGTAATACTGATATCAACAAACGTAATGAGTCCAGAAGAAACAAAAGAAAATAAGGGGAACCACATTATTTGGTATAAATCATACCAAAGTAATGAGGGCATATCATCTAGATGAAGTGCATCTGCCCAGTACAGAATGAGAGCAGACTAAAGGCTGTTGCTTTTTGTGTATCTGCACTGTATAATCATAGAATCATTAAGGATGGAAAAGACCTCTAAGATCATCTGGTCCAGCCATCAACCCATCACCATGCCCACTAACCATGTCACTCAGTGCCATGTCTACAATTTTCTAGAATACCACCAGGCACAGTGACTCCACCACCTCCCTGGGCAGCCTGTGCCAGTGCCTGACCACTCCTTCTTAGAAGAAAAATTTCCTAATATTCAATCTGAATCACCCCTGATGCAACTTAAGACCATTTCCTCTTGTACTGTCACTGCTTACCTGTGAGACGAGACTGACCCCTCTCCTCTCCATCGCTACAGTTCCTTTCAGATCACTGTAGAGAGTGATAAGGTCTCTCCTGAGCCTCCTGCAATCTAAACAATCTCGGTTCCCTCAGCTGCTTCCTGTTAAAACTTGTGCTCCAGATCCTTCACCAGCTTCATTGCCCTTTGCATTCATCCACCGCCTTTCTTGTAGTGAGGCTGACATCTCGTCCTTAACCACACTGATTTGGTAATTGGTCATTTGGGAGAAAGGTAGGGAAATGCTTTTATTTTATTTACCTTGTTGTTTTTTTTTTTTGTTTTTTTTTTGTTTGTTTGTTTTGTGTGTGTTCTTTTTTTTGGTGAACAGCATTTGACTTTGTCCTAGTTCTGCTGATTAATTTGTAAGAGCCAGTAGGACCATAGTGTGAAGACTGGAAGATAGAGCTGTCTGTTGTTTGTAGAGAAGTATTTGAAAGGTTAGGAGAATTAAATGCCTATTGAACTAAGAAGTAAACAGATGGCATCAATCACTGTAGATCTACTGCTATGTTTCTAAAGGATAATCTGAACAAATAAATAACAATTAAGCCCAGAATACAACTATTACTTTAAATACAGCACAACAGTTTTTCTTCTACATTCTTCTTCCTGTTGCTTTCAGAGGAAGTGCTGTTGAAGCTGTTTTGGGGAACAGAAGCTTTGTAGTCACGATTTCAGTCTAGCAGTAAAATATGTTGCTTCATTACCTAATATATTTAAAATATCTTAGAAGTAGTATAACTATTTCAAGTTCTGATACTTGTGTTAATTTGCAGTTTTTGTTTAAAGATACTAAAGTAGTTAATGGGATTTACCTTAGCAGTGCAATTCCTTTTACTATAAAACTTACAAGGTTACTGTGGCCTGTTATTACTGAAATAATTATGAAATAGCAGGTGTCGTATTGCATTGTATTCCTGTTCTTAATTGGAATTTCCACGTGCCAACCTAATTTCTGCTCCTATTTATCATTGTTTATTTTGGCTTCCTGCGGAACTGTCACCCATGAAGTCACAGAATCATCCAGTCAGAAAAGACTTTCAGCATGATGAGGAGCAACCATCACCATGGCCTATTGAGTCCTGTCACTAGACCATGTCCCTTACTGCCATGTTCACACGTCTCTTAAATACCTCCTGGGAGGGGGACTCCACCAGTGATGTCATTTTGATTTTAATCATACAATATTAAATTACAAGGCTGGGATTTACTGAAATATTCCATGTTTGTAGATGGTTGCAAAACAGATTCTAGAAATTGCAGGTTGTTCCTTGAGATGTTTAAGCTAGAAATAGCTTATTTCTTTTTGAATCCTTAAGGTTAAATGTTTATCATTACAGTAGCATATTTTTCTGTGGTAATATTTTCATTATTATATACCAGCAACGCAGTCACTGCTGGTCTATCTGTTAATGTTTCTTCAGTTAATAAGGTACGTGGTGGACAGTAGGGTTTTGGGGTTTTCATGACAAAACTGGAACAGCAAAACCACCAGTTCTGGTGCCTAAGTTAACGGAGATCTTCTGCTGTTTACTATTCTCATTTTCAAAGTGGAACTGTGGATTTCTGAATGCTACCACATCTATTAAAATCAGCCTGAATTTGTCAAATAACATTAGTTATTTGGGCTCATTGAAATATTTTTTGGGGTCACACGAAGATAAACAAGTCTTTTTGGTTAGCAGGAAGCCAGTGCCTAGGATGCAGTAGGATGCATAGTGGAGGAGTGGCCAGGAGAAGAGGGGTGAGAGTTTGGTTCTTGTCTACATTATGGAAGCTCTTTAGAGTCTTCAGTTGTGTTATTTTATTGCAGTTAAGAATTTTTTTCTGTTATGTGATAAAGTAAGCTCTATGTTTGATCCATATTTGAGGCCATAATTATGAAGTATCAGTACCAGGCCTGAGGAGATTCTAGAGGAAAGCCAGAAACAAAATTATGTAATTCTCAGTTTCTGGAATTATGCATGTAATGGACATTTTTAACATGGATTTTGTAGTGAGCAACTTGTTTGAGTTTCTGCTGAACGTAAAGATATTTTTTTTTTAAAGAAAAATATGTGCTTTGGTCTTACTTACTTCAGCAGATTGCTTGTCAGACAGCCATGTAATTCTGTATTCATCACGGACTGATATATTTCATGGTTCTAGAAAAAAAACAGCAAATGGGCATGCATACTTGTCAAAGACTTCATTGAGGACAAAGCCCTGTGTAATTTTGCATACTGATAGTAGTAGTTAGCATTTAGTGGGGAGAGAATTGACTAGCTGTTGGATATGTTGTGCTTGTGTTGCAAATTAGCTTGCCTTCTTAACAGTATAGTATTTGAGTGAGTTTGATTGTGAAACAATGATTTGCCAGATTTTCAAGAAGGAAATAAAATACGGTAAAGGAAGCAGGCTCCTCACACTTAAATATAAAATGTGAAAGACATTTTGTGACAGATTGTCAAGGGTAGACAATGATTACCTCCATTATTATCTAATGCGTTCAGATTGTTGCAGTAACTTGTCATTAATTGTTAAAATAATTGCCATTTGTTCCATTCGTGTGCCTCAAAGCAATAAACTAATCATGTTAGTAATGACTTCTGATCATTTATGAAAGAATGCTTTTTCATATTGTGTATGAGGAAATTAAGTGTTGTTCCTACATGAGTGAGGGTGTCTTTCAGAGATGATACCAGAATGTTGGTTATATGATTTTCACTTCTGTATGTTAACTACAGGAATACTTGTCTCCAATATTAGTTTTAATAGATTTTCTTTGTCAAAAGTAGTTTTATAATACAGGAAGTAAGTTTCCTAATACAGGAAATAAGAAGTGTCCATAGGTATGTGTGTAGCTGAAGTACAACTTAAGAAATTGAGCTCAAACACATTGAAAACCTCATTTTGTAGTTGAATGTGGTGATGGATGGTAATTGTTTTTGGCATTTAGTGAAATGGTGTTTCACATTTGGTCTTCATTGGAAGTTCTTGAAGGATGCATCTCTTTGAAGTATTTGTGAAGTTATGTAATTGTGTGTGCAAGTCTGACTTTTTTCATATTTGGACCACGTGGCTTGATATCACGGGATCTAATGCAGGAATATGAGCTCTTGAGAACAGCTATGCATTAAAAATACGAGCATCAGCTGTGTGCATGCAGTGTTCTCCAGTGTTAAGTTCAGTATATTTTACCTACTTTCATGGCAGTTACAGAAAGCCTGTTCACATTTATCTGTTGTTTGCTGTATGCTAAGGACTTGTATGTGATCACTGGCCACTGAAGAGCTGTCATGTACATCTTTACCTCTAGTAATTAGTGTGACCATACTAAAATAAGCCTGTTAAATCAACAAAAAAATTCTGGAAGCTCCATCAGGTAGTAAAGCAGGCAGTCTTAACTTGTGGCCTTGACAATCACAGGTAATACAGGGCACATTATTTACCGTAAACAAGTTACACTGTAGAGCAGCAATTTGTTGATGTAGACTTATCTGCAATTTAAAAAAAAAAAAAAAATTAAGCACATGATAATTTTGTGAAGTTTACTTGTGAGGTTCCTTCTTCATTTGTTCTGTGAGTCTTCATTTTCCACCATGCAGTGCTGCATCATCACCTACCTTGAAACTATATTCCTATGATCAGCTGTTTTTTGCTTTACCTTTCCCTCCCTTTCCTGTTCTATGTACTCTGTATAGTTACTGACTAGTGTTCTTTTATTCTAGCTTCCACCAAAGTCTGTTGGATTTTGTCAAATGCTAGACTAAAGTTGCTGATGTTTTTAATGCTGATGTTTTTAATGATGAAGGCCAGTCACCTTCATCTTCTGTGATGTGGTGAAAGTACCTGAGAAGGAGCCATGTTCTTTTTTTTGAAATCTTGTTTTCCTCTTGCCTATAACCATGTTTGTGCTCATCCTTCTAGAACACCTGATTGCAGGAGTCCGTCCAACTCCCTAAGAATTCCAAGGTGTTATTCCCTCTTTTTTTTCTGTGACACAGCACATCACTGACGTGTCTTTTCCTGCAGGCCTGTCTCATTTTGTCTGAATTTGCTACATCTATTCAGAATATCTTCACACGTTTTCAGTGCTGTTCTGCATGCATCCTGTCTCAATTCATGGCAAGTACCAGCTGTGGCAAGCTTGTCCATAGGACTCTAGATCCTGTGTGATCTCTCATAGGTAATTTGTATCAACTGCTACTTTTTGCTGCTTGTTTGTTTATTCAGAAGCTTCCAACTGAACATGTTTTTATGAAAAAACAAATTTGGTATAATCATTTTGTTTTGGAGTAGAAGAGATCGTGTTTTCCCAGAAGTGTTGTTGAGAAAGTGAAGTGCAATCATGAGATGAGTTTCTAACTTCAGCAAGCTGTACAAGTCTGCCAAATCTGTATAGCTCCCAGATGGTTAGCAGCGTATCTGAAGAGAGAAGTTTTAGTGCTTCAAGGGGGCTGTGGAATTTCGTATCTTGTTAATAAAATTGGCAAGATCTATCAAGTCTTGTATCTAGAATCTTCCCCAATATATCCAGTTTTCATTGATTTCTTCTTTCTTTGGCATTTCAGTGAAGAAAGTAATGTCTGTGTTCTGTTTAAAATCGCCATATTTTTCCTTTGTAGTGAGACATGCTATTTGATTGAAGTAATTGTAGGTAAAATTCAATGTACTGTATTTTAGTACTCCACAAATAATAATTCAATACCTCAAAATATGAGTCTTTTCTTAAAAAAGCTGTATATTACTGGAGCTTAGAAGCTTAGTTATGATGTCACATAGGTTGGGATTTTACTTCTGCTGGAAATCTTACTTTGATTTTCTGTAAGCACAGCGTATACCAATATTAACATTCTGCGACTTCTTATTGTTATGGTAGATAAGCTCTTACAGCAATCCAAGCCATGTAAAAATTAATAGCTCAAGTTTTTTTTTTTTTTTTTGGGTGAATGGAAATTTTCTTATTCTAATTTTTTTTTTTCAGCTGAGATAATCATTTGTCCTCTTAGATCACATGTCAATGAGGTTGTTGATGGTGTAGAATCATAGAATACTGACAAAACACAGAACATTTTTCTCCTCCAATTCCAACTCAAGGCATGGTCAACAAGAGCAGTTTTTTCAGGATATTGTCCAGTTGGGTTTTGGATATCTACAGTGGTGGACATTGTCATCTCTGTGAACAATTTGTTCCAATGTTCAGCTACCCTTTATAATGATTGTTTTTCTCTGTGTTTCAGTTTGTGTCCATTTCCTCTTGTTCTGTCACTGGGAACTGACAAGAAGAGTTGTGTTTCCATTTTCTTTACTGCTGCCCCCAGTTCTAAATCACTATGCTATGTTAAGATGCCCCTTAACCTTTTCTTCTCTAGGCTGCATGGTCTCATTTCTTTGAGGCTCTTCTTGTATGTAAGAAGCTCTAAAACTTCTTTATGGCTGAATTTGCTCAGGTCTGTATACGTTTTTCTTCTACTTGGCAGCCCAGAACTGGACCTGGCATTCCAGAGCTCTTTCTTGCCAAAGCTGAGAAACTTCATCCTCCTCAGCTGGTGATTCTAAAGCAGCCCACAATGCTGTTTGACTTCATTGCTGGCTCACAGCCGGTTTGTTGGCCACCAGGACCCACAGATATTTTTTCTACAAATCTGCTCAGGGATGTGATTTAGCAGCGGGTTGTTAGGGTAGTGTGGTTAGGTTGTGGTTGGACTTGATGATCTTTAAGGTCTTTTCCAACCGGAGTGATTCTATGATCTGCTTTACAACCAGTATGTGTCCAGCCTAGTGGTGCCCAGGACAGTACACCATGCTGATCAAACATCAGAGGTTTCTAAAGAACGTTTAAAACATCACAAGTGAATGGATCTGGGGGTTCCCTACAACAAGTGGGAATGGTTTTAAACTGAGGCAGGGGAGGTTTAGGTTAGATATTAGGAGGAAGTTCTTCACACAGAGGGTGGTGAGGCACTGGAACAGGTTGCCCAAGGAGGCTGTGGATGCCCCATCCCTGGAGGCATTCAAGGCCAGGCTGGATGTGGCTCTGGGCAGCCTGGTCTGGTGGTTGGTGACCCTGCACATAGCAGGGGGCTGAAACTTGATGATTTTTGTGGTCCTTTTCAAACCAGGCCATTCTGTGATTTTGAATCTCATTCTTGTTTCTGATACGAGCTATTTTTGATGCAAGTTATTTCAAGTACGAAGTTTCATCTCATTTTTCGTTTTAAGACCTTAAGATTCGAACACGTTACTGCACATCACTGTGCCACAGCATGTGTTCTGAATATGTGTGCTCTTGTTCCATAGCAGATGTACTGCAAGGAGTTCAGCCATGTTTGTGATCTGTGTTAAGATGAATGGCACAGCATTAAGCTAAAATTCTCTTGCTTACTCCTACCAGCCATGACATGCTAGTTTCTGCAGCTCAGCTGATGCGTATTAGCTTGTTACATGCTGGTACCTCAATTGTGTGTATGAGCTTACTTTCTGAGAAGAAATGGGAATAACACATAGAATATTCTATTAAATTTGTGTTAATTAAACTTGGAGTATGTATATTTATTTTGAAGCTCTATTTCTAAAAAAATAAAAACAAAATTCTTCTTCCAAGTTCCTGATATGTGGTAAAATTACCAGATTTTACTTTTTAAGTTTAGGAATACTACTTCGTGTTAGCTCATCTCTTATGTCAGCTGTGGTTTATGGTTTTCATAAAACTTCTATTGGAACACTGATTTTACAACTGTATTTTATATCCCAAGCAATTTTCTTCTGTAGGGCATCTGATATTTAATGTAGTATACAATCCTCTCCTTCAGAAGAATGAGGCAGAAAATTATTTGAATAAAGAACTATAAAAAAAAAGGCTTTTTTCCCTAAGTTTGCATCATTGGAGCAAGTAGCATGGCTCAGTTTCTCTTAAGAACAGTCCCTATTCCCAAAACAACTGAAACGCTTTTTATGCTGAGTATTTATAAAAGGATAGAATGGTTCTATTTTGTCATACATTTTTCTTAGGGAAATGTACATAACTGGAAAGGTCAGTGTTTCAAAGCTGTATGGATATTTCCAGACTTTGAGACAGTTGTAACCAATCATGGTTTTTGAGCAGATGGTTCACCGTGTACCTGCAGGCAAGTATTTCTTCTTCAGTCTTTTTCTGATGTGTCCTCAAGCCTAGCAAGCAGCTCTGGTGTTCTGTCTTAATTTCTCTCAGATGGGTCTTTCTGAGGTTCGCATGTATTTTACTGACAAATTATTGTCCACTTTTTTTTGTTTTGTGGATGATAGCAACTTTTTGGATCACTGCACTGTTCACAGACATTGCTTGCACACAGTTTAACATCTTTGTGAATGAGCAACCTCCCTTCCCTTGCCTGTCTTTATTCTGGTGGCAAACTGTTGACAAATACGCAGCAAAACAGTATTTGGGCAATGCTTGCCTGTATTGGCACTATCTTCAGAGGTAGGCCGTTGTGAATTTTGTCTCACTCAGACTGACACTCATCAATGAGCAGCAGTGTTCTCCATAGAGGTAAAAATGTGTGTTCTTGAAACACAACCTTGGTATTGCATCTGTTTTCAGAAAGTCAGTGTTCCTCCTTCC